TGGGTGGCTGCTGCTGGTTAGTGTTGACAGTACTGGACTAGATGGCACCATGTTTTGATATGCCACAGGGCAGCTTCCTCTGTTTCATTGTTAATCTCCAAGGTTCAAACTGAGGGGTACAAGATCAGCACTAGCCTGAGGCACCAGCCTGGTACATGCAATTATGGGGTCATTGGTAAAGCCACAGTACCTTGTCCATCACCCTTTGAATGTGACTCGCTTTGCATAATTACCTTTCCTAGGCATGGCATCTTATGATGTCCAAACTGGATGTGGGGGGGGGGGGTTTGCTTGATTAAGAAGCTACCCAGAACCAATGAGCTATTTGGCTTTGGGCTGGTTTGTTTACCACCCTGGCTATGCCCCCTCACTGGGTTCAGATGTCTCAACAACCTGTGTCTGGGGAGAGCAACTGTATACAACAGGCCAGCAAGTAACTGATACATGTGTGGTGGCTAGGAAACCACCCTGTTCTTGTGTGAACCAGCACATTTTGTTAACCTTGACTATTTCTGCTAAAATGCCTGGCATAAAGGAGGAAAATGTAGTCAGTACGTGAATATGAGTCATGCAGAGAGGAATAAAACATGGAGTCTAGAGTCAATAGATAATAATATTTCCACAGATCAATAAGTTAAAAAAGCTTTAAAAATACTTTTGGAAACACAGCCAGAGAGAGGCTGCATTTCGATTTACCCACACTAGGCTGTATTATACCACTGAAATTCCCTACTAAAATCCCCTACTCAACAAAATTACTTGTGCAATGGAACACCTCAAGAAGGATTTTTGTGTGTGCTCATGATTAGGAACATAAATACATCCTAAGGTTATGTTTTGATCAATGTATATACCTTTCACAAACAGTTGATTCTCATTATGAGAATAAAAAGAAAAAGAAAACAAACCAACCCAAGCAATTTGACAAGTATCATTTTTAATCATTGCTCCAGTTCTGCTTTTTTATTAATCAAGCCACAAAAGCTGCTCCAGAGGTTGATGCACCCATGTGTTCTGATCAGTGCTAAAGAAAGATCTCAGTAGTGCTAGACCTTGCATTTTCAAAACATGGGGTAACTGCCCATATTGGTTCTGCATTGCAATGGTTTTCTGTGCAATCTGAAAACTGTTTTGCATCTAGCAGGAACTGATCTAATTAAGTCTGCAATCATAAAGTGGTTTGGAAAAGCATGTGCGCATATGTCTGTGGTGTTAATCTGTCCCTTGTCATCTTGCGCTTTGCCTAAATTGTGCAACATTATGCCTGTTCAACCCGAAGTGGTGTCAGTATCCTAGGCAAGTGTGCCTAGGATGACACCCTAAGGCTGCAATCGAATGCCCACTTCTTGGGATTAAGTCCTATTGAACTCACTGGAATTTACTTGAGTAGACACATGTAGGATTGTGCTTTAAGGCTACTAGAAACGGAAGCTTTTTGGGCTCCAACATCACGCCAGGCCTTTCTCTCCCTCCTCCCTCCCTGCTCCAGTTTTCCTTAACATCTAGCCTGAAGCATTTTGGAGAACTCAAAATCTTGCTTGACAGTTTGCAATAATTAGTCCTAATAAAATGTCGTGTGCTATTGTGACATTTGGATTTTTCCCCAATGGGTAAACATTAGAGTTATTCTTTCTTAATAGATTACCCATATTTTAAAAATACACATTCAGGATGCAATATTTAGACAGGCATATTTAGAGAGAAAAAGGTCCTACAGCTACCATCATATCCCAGGTACCCATGCTGGCAGGGCAATGCTGGAAGTAGGCCTTTTTTTCTGGCTAAACATCTGTCGTATCATAACCCAAGTTACCATTCATTCCCTTGTTTTGATATGAGTTTCTTGAAGATTCTGCAGCTTCCCTTCTTGTTTTTGGAGTGCAAATCAAACAATGAAGTTGTTAATTTTCATATGGCACTGGAAGTAGGCTAGGAAGAGGAAGCTGCCTTTCAGCTGATCAGCACAATTTGTCTCCTTTTAAAGGAGGATATTGATTCAGATATCTGATGTACAGGCAAACAAGAGTTCACAGGGAACAAGGCAAAATCTTTCCATATACATTCCAGCGAGCAAAATGTAGCTGAGTCTAGAGAACCTCATCTCTTGCCCAAGTGAAGTTTCTTCATGTTCAAGAGGGCCACACAATTCCTGGACAGTGCACAGATAGGCTTCCAGTAGTTTTAGATTCCTCAGGGTAGCGAGGGAAGACGTAGCTATGGCTTCTCTACATTTTCCACCCACAAGCATGTTGTTACTCTGCTGTAACAAGCCTGGCTGCCAGTGATCAGGCTGGTCCTACGTTTCCTGGGAGCCATACAGGGAATGGAAACCCTTGTAAAAGAAGCTGTATCCAACAAGCAGCATAGCCTGGCTATTCATACATCACCCCAAGGGAGATGCATTGCCCAAACAAAGATGACAAAAACAGAACAGAAGAACAAAAGATTTTTGCCCATGCTCGTATATCTCTAGATGCAAAAGTCTTCCTCCGATTTCATTAGAGATCTATTATGTCTCATCATAGCAGGAAAGGCAGTGAACAGGGGAGCTGTGTGTCTGCTCAGCAGGTGCCTGCCATCGATGGGCAACTTCAAGGCCTTTGCTGGCTCTTCTTTCTTAATATGGTCCCTTCTCTTTAAAGCAGACTTGGACTGGACAGTCCTCCATGCAAAAGAGGATGCTTTCACAGAGAGGGTGATTTTCTGGCAGCCTTTCCACACAGAGGACTGTCCTCCATTAGTAGGCCACCTGGCCATTCTGAAGCACTGTCATGGATTTGAAGTAGTAATATATTAAGACAAGAATCTTGGTTTGTATCAGACGAATGCAGCTACCCCACTAGAAGTAATAGATTGCAGTCATTCAGCTGAGAGAAGCACTACACAGAATGTCTGATCAAATTATTTCAGGGGTTCCTTCCAGTCTTAACAATCTTTAGATGAGCAGCAATCTGAAAATGTTAGAAGGTCCTCGCACCAGTATAGCTGAATATAAGTTTAATAAATAAATACAATTACTCGTATAGGGCATGGCTAAGCAGCCTTTGCTCTTCTGAGAGCTGTATTCCCTTAGGGTATCCCATGGGGGACTAAATGCTTGGGTGGGCAGCGCTGAGGCCAGTGAGAGCGTAGCCAGAGCCAGAAGCAGGTGGTCTGCTTTACTCTCTCTCTCTCCCCTTCCCTCCCTCCAATGTGCTGGCCATTCCTTCTCCCTCACCACTGAGCAAGGAGCTGTTGGGGAAGGGACAGATCATTCTTGCAGAGAGCTTTGGAAATTAGGCCAAGAGCCGCATAAAATTAGACTGAGGACCTCTGGTTTCCCAATCTTGCAGTACATGTGAGCTGGGCCCACCAGTTCAGTCCTTCCCCTGTTGCCTGACACCGCTGCCCTCCATGTGATCAAGGGTAAAGATGTCTTGTAGATGCCCCAGGAACTGCATGATCCACTGGGGTGAGCCAAGGTCCTGATTCTTACTCCTCAGGAGGGAAAGCTTCTGCTATAGGTCCCTCAAAACCAGAAAAGGATACAGCTGTGGATGCAGCCATCAACATCGCTTTTGCCTCAAGGCCCTCAGCCCTAGAAGAGACCATCCTCGGATCCCAAGGACTCCGGTTCGGATGCTGCCACCACATCCCAGTTCCTTCCATGACTTTGCAGCCAAAAGCTAGTATGGCCCCATTAAGCAAGAAGGACTCATGCAATGTTTGGATGCAGCTAGCAGCCCCTAGGAAACCCAAGTCCTATTTAAGTCTCAGTCTGCCAGTTGTTGGAGCAAAGTATAAGCTGAATTGTCTAACTTCTAGCTGAGGCCCATTAGAGCTTTCTGCAGTGCTATCCACTTCTTGGTATCTCTAACTGGCATCTGACCTTGGCTTTGCCTGATCTCCCTGGAGTCTGGATTCTCCCCTGTGCTGACTGCCCTGAAGCTTGACCCCTACTGTGCTTGACCTTGCCTACAGGAGCAGACTCCTTGTTTGTTGAGTACATCCCAAGAACCTGGGTGCAACAGTCCCCTCAAGCGGCCCAGCCCTTGTCCTCAGCAGGACCCGCAGCCTGAACTGGTACACAAGGATCCTAAATCATGTGGGGAGCCTACACATATGGGTCAGGCTTCCTACTGCAGACCTTTGCTCTCCAGCACACGGAGGATGGCAGCTCATGGAGATTGGTGGTGGTGTGTGGAGGAGATCAGGTTGTCGGTGCCTTCCCCTCATTATGTGAGCCTTTGAATGACTGAATAAGGCTTCAGAAGGACCAGAATGTGGCAAGAGAGGATTCTTGAACTTCACTGAGACCTCACTGAACATGTATGGAGAGCCAGACAACACCTCCAAGATCTCAGGCAGAGATCTTCCTGGACATACACTATTAACATCCCTTTAATTGCAGAAGTCAGATGTGGAACAAGACAACTTCCGTATGCAAGGCATGTGTTTGTTCTGTTATTCAACAGTGGCCCTGCTGCTCTTGGAGTCCCAGAGCAGACTTCAGCAAGGAATGCCTACATCACTTTGAATTCACTACTCCTACTCTGTGATCAGTAATTGCATGCAGTATTTTCATTTTTTAGAAGGGGAAAAAGTCATTAAGGGTGCAACCTATGTATGTTTAGATAGCAAAAAGGGCTTACAACTCCCTATATGGCCCAGCCAGTAATTGGCTGGAAATGTGAAATTGCAGTTCAGCATTTATATACACTCAAACCACAATGCGGTATTTTTTGATAAGTATTTAATAGACCACAGTGATGATGGTGCTATGGAATGACAATTGCAAATCCAGACAATGTCCATTTATCAAATTGTATTACTATTTATTAAAAGGTTATCATTTTGAAATATTTTAAATTTTGTTTGGTTTTACTATGCTGCTGTAGAACCTGAGCCTACATTCATACAGGCCAGAGAGGTGAACCCCCTCCGCAAATACTTTCAGTTCCTAGTGGAAACACCGGCCTTCAGTTCCTTATTCAATGCATCTGGGCCTGCTCTTTTTCCAGCGGCAGCAACTTCCTCATCACCTCCGAGCGCATCCATCTGCCAGATGACTGCACCGTGGGTTACATCATTGAGCGCAAGCTAGCGGGCCGCTTGATCCCCAGTGCTTTGTTTCACTCTCACCTGGAGAACCTGCAGCAAATCCGGAACGTCCAGCTCACCACGCAGGTGAGATAGTGCACAAAGCGAAAAGATGACAGAGGATCGCTGTGCCCACACTGGAGTGAGTTAGAGCTTTCCGAATGAACAGTTTTTGTAACACACAAAATTGCCCCCATGTTACGTATTTGTTGTTCAGAATCCAATCTCCTTCCCTTGAAGTTGCACATCTGTTGCATTGATATAGCCTTTCCTCGGTTCAATTGGGATGTGTTTTATTTTGTACCTGGAGGTAATGCAATCCTTTTCCCAGATGAACTCATTCATTGTTGCAGGGATTGCTGGCCAGCCTTGCTCTATTTTGCTACTGCCTGTGGCATGATATCTCTCCAGCCATTACATGAGGCCAGATAGCCTGCTACAGCCTTTGAATGGGGATTTCTGCCTTTGAATGGAGATTTGCCAGGGGACTATCAAGATGCCACTGGGGTTGTCTGCAGGAAGGAGGGAAAAGGAGGGTCATGGGAAGGAGAGCAAGAGGAGCAGGCAGGAAGGCGGCCATTCGCATTGTCTCCCGCATGAATGTGACACTGATTAAAGCCATCATGCATTATTTAGATGAGGCCTTCCCTGAGAAATGCTTCCCTGGACACTTCTTGGTAATAAGAGGCAAGGGGACGAAAAGGCAATTAAGTCGCCTTCTGCCAGTCAAAGCAGAGGGGAGGTGTGTCCGTCTCCTCCTCCTTTCTGCAACAGAAGTGCAAGTGCCAAGAAATTCCCTGCCTCTCCCCTCATGGCAGAGCAACTCATGCAGCAGAACTGCATGGTGCAGTATTTCCTGGACTCTTCCATTTGAGAGTGCAGATGCTAAGATGGCTTACTTGGACTATCCCTATCCCTCATCCAAACACCTCCCTCACATTAAAAGCAGAACATCTGGCAGCCAACAAGAAAGTTGGCTTGGAGTATGTTTCCTGGATATATTAGTTTTGCATTTGGGTGATGGTACCAGGTACTCTTTAAAAAAAAAATTGGGTGTGGATGTGAGTTTCAGATATTCTCTCTCACTGATATTCAGTCTGAAATGGAGCATCCCGATATCAGCTGCTCCATGTGATTCTAGCTCTGTAACTTAGCTCTCAGTCTTGCCTCATCCTTGCATGGAAATTCCTCAAAAGAAGAAGATGAGATGTGAAGAACCCAGGGACCTGAAATATGGCTAAACATGGTGTTCCCAACCCTTCGGTTGGACACTTGCTTGGAAACAACTTGACATTGTCATCTGGTCTCATACATAAGTTTAAGAGACAAAGTAGAGAAAGTCTGGTGGGTGGCTTGGCATGAGACAGTGGAAGTCAAAAGAAACAATTTATTTGGCTATGGCATGAAAGAAAAAGGAAGGAAGGAAGGAAGGACAGGAGAGAGAGAGAGAAAGAAAGAAAGAAAGAAAGAAAGAAAGAAAGAAAGAAAGAAAGAAAGAAAGAAAGAAAGAAAGAAAGAAAGATAGTGTGCCTTCTCCAGCCATCTCTTTCTTGCTATTTTTAAAATGTAGGTTACCCTCAGCTATGGCATTTTTGAGAAGAAGTTCAATGCTATCAAGCTGGCTGGTCCTTTCTCCCAGCAAGATGATCCATCCAGGTATGACAGCAATTTTGTTTCAAGCCCCTGCAGTACTGGCAATGCAGAGGGGGGGACGGGGGCTGAAGTAGGAGGTGCATGAATACAGACAAATAGGGATGAATCAATCCAAAAACTCTGAGTTTTCTCAATTTCTCTTTTTCCTAATCTTACCTTTGGTTCATCCCAAATGCTGAGAATGTTTTAAAAGTTCTCATGAAAATTCCTGTGTATCTTTGCATGTATGTATTTTTAATGCAATTTTGCCTACCATACACATCTTTGCAATTTTTTTTAATATCATGTGTTTTGAAAATAATTTTCACAAATATGTGCATTTTGTGCACTTTCCCTTAATATATGCATTTTTTCACTGGAGAACTCTATTACAAAATCCAGACAAGTACAAATTTTGTCGGGCTGTGCTCATGTATTGGTTCAAATGTGTAAAATTGGGAAAAAGTTGCATTGCAATGTGGATTGACTGAATTCCTCTGTCATCCCTAGATTCAAGATTGACAGAGATATGGGTAGGTGAAGAAGGAGGCCGGCAAACACTGTATGGCCAGCACTATGTTGGCTTCATTTCTGCTTTCATAGTTTGCTATCTTTTTTCATCCTTTAAGCTGAGGCTTTATTGCAGTCTCTGGAACTGGAGCCAAACCTTCAAGGTTGTTCAGACCCGAGGGGCTGGGCAGGTTGTACTCTGGCTGAGGTTCCTATTCAATCTACATAGGATTAGAGGGCTAGAAGCGTCTGTCTCTGGGCATTTTGCTGCAGTGCAGTGCGAGAGCATCTGGTATTGGATGGGGCACAGGGGAACGTGTGCTCCTCCTACGCAACCCGTTCCCCCTCTGCAGCAAGTGTTCTCTCTTTTCATGCCTTCTCTCTTTCTCTCTTCTTTCCAGGTTCCGATCACTTCATTGCCTCCTTTATCCAGACACTTCCTGGTGCCCACAGTCCACCTCCCAATAGCAAGTGCTCAGAAGCCCTCACCACAGGGGATGGAGAACCCTCTAAACTAGGGAAAACCCACAAGTCTTTCCAGAACTGTTCAATGGAGAAAATGGTAGCAACTTCTGGACTTTATCGATGATTAAAAAGGGAGGGAGGGGATTACATGCTAAAGCTGGGGCAAGGGAATGGATTCAGAGTTGCTCTCAGGTTATGTTAATTGAGCTGGGAGACTCTCATTGTCACTGTCCTTGGACCAGCTGACATAATCCCCCCACTCCCCGCCACATCTCCCTTTTCAGGTATGGCCTGTATGATTGGAAGAGCAAGTGGCAGGAGAAGCAGAATATCTCCTTCCATGTCCAGGGGTGAGATTCTAAATCCCCAAACTGATCCTTTCAAGAGGTTCAAAGGTACAGGAAATGGAGATAGGTCAGAATCACTTCCTGGTTACGTGTTGGTTCCTTGACCAAGATCACGCTTTTAGTAATGGCACAGAAAGCCATGAACAACTTGGGCTTGGGATACCTGGGGGGCCACCTTCTCTAATATAGACTGCAAGAGGCCTTGCTGCTTGTATCACAGCTTGCATGCTGCCATCCAGCAGCAATTAGAAGCAAGCCCTTGCTCTGGTATTCAGGAGATGCCAACTGTAGCATGTTTTAGGCACTTGTTAAAGACTCATATCTTCTCCCAGACTCTGCCTGAATGGCTGTGCTACCTCGTAAGTCTGCTTATTAACTGCTGTGCTTTTAGCTTTAGTTTTAAATATTTTAAGATGCAATCCTATGCATGTTTAAACAAAAAAAAAAGTCTTACAACTCCCAGCATGCTCCAGCCAGCCATGCTGGGAATTACAAGATTTTTTATGAATCTAAACATTCATAGAATTGAGCTCTTAACCATTTTAACTGATGATCTCTTGCGTTTGTGAATATATATTTTAATCGGTTTCTGTAAATACCTCTGTGATATCTTCTCATACACTGAGAGGTGCTTAATGTGATTAAGGGCACAATCCTATCACCTCCATGGCTGGTGCTTGTAAGCCTCCACACCTGGGCAGTTACAACCACCCAATGCAAGAGGTAAGGCATGGCAAGGATCCTGTTAACAGCACACCTTCCACCCTGCCTTTCTCTGGGGCACCATTTTCAGCCCTCTAGATTTAGCTTCAGGGAATGGGAGGGAAGGGGGCTGGTGTGCCACTTGGATTCAGCTATCCCCAGAGCCCCACCTTTTCCAAGGCATGCCCTTTCCCCCCTCTGAGGACAGTTGCAACCTTGGGTGGGAGTGGGGCAACTAGTGCAGTACTCTCTGTGCCTGTTGGGAGAGAACAGTGTAGAGGTGGGGAAGATAAGATCAAATTTAAGTAACAGCCCCAAAAACTCCTATGGCCTCTCAGATGATTTTAGGAGGCCATAGGATTGCACCCTAAATAATTATGTGCTTTCTGCCCATTAGTCAACTGACATTGGGGTCACAGCACAAAGAAGGCAGGACCCCCCCCCCCACTCTTATTCTCTCCCATTCTCTCTCTCTCTCATACACACACACCCTATGATGTGGTAGCTGCTCTAGTACTGGATTTCCCTAACGATGCAATCATACAGGAATGGCAGGATCGCTCCATTTGGCCTTTCCTCAGCTCAGTGCTGGTGCTTACCTTTAAATCCCTACCTACCTGGCTTAAATCCCAGTTATTTATTGGACTGTCTTCACCCAATACCAGTTTACCCAATCACTGGGATAATCCTCAGGGGACTCTCCTCCAAGTACTGAAGCAGAGGAGATCAATAACACCTGAAGGAAAATCCAAGAACAAAATGAAGGGACCTTTCTCTTGGTAAAGTTTCCTCAGCATGCATCAGAAAACAGATATATTGGGTCCTCTTTCTGCCCTCTCTCATCCAGATGTCTCCTGATACAAAGATCCTTTGAAAATATTTCTGATGATAGCTGCGGCCTTGCAAGTTACAACTGTTTCTCATTCCAAGTACTATTCTAGGTACAGAGGCAGCAGAATCAAATGATATTTGACCAAAGCTCTAGAAAGTGACATATCCACATCAAGAAAGCGATGAAATTGTGTGTTTTGAAGTCCTTAGTATACTTGAAAAAAATAAAACAAAATTTCTGTGTGAATGGCTGATGGAGAATTCATTAGTAATTTTTGGATAGTGATGGGGATCAGAACAGAACCATAGTCTGTAAGTGAATAATTTGTAGTCTATGCAAGGAGTGCACTTTGGTTATAGTCTTGCCTTTGGTATGTTGAACATGTTTGTCTCCTGAATGTTAAAAAGACGAATGCTGTTGAAGAAGTAAAAAAGAAGGCAACGTGCACAGAGACCTGGAGCAGAGAATGCGGCAACCCACCCTGGTTTGTTATTGAGTGTGGGTTGCTCGGCTGTGCAAAGAGAGTTTGCTTCCCAAAAAAGCAAGCTGCTCTGCTGTGCCCATGGGCTGTTCTGGAGTTGTTGTCATCTGTGGTGGGATGTTGTGTCATCTGAACCTGGATGATGTGGCCCACCAAAGGTGAACCCCAAAGCCAAGGAGCTGCTTGGCAAGAGTGCCAGAAACCCCTTGCTGGTCTGGACGAGCAGCTGCCGAGGGAGCCCAAGCTTCTTGGTGGCACAGCCCATCCTCAAGTGGTACTGCCAGACGGATCAGGCTCTTCTGCCTCCTCCTGCCCCTTGGCTGAGAGCAGGCCCAAGCAGGAGGTGGGAGTTGGTGATCTCAAGTGGTGGCCCTGAGCAGGTTGGGCAACTCTGTCCTTCTGCCCAACCAGCTCTCCCATTCCTCCTATTATACATCAAGGCAACCCTCTGAGCATAGTCCAAGTGCAAAAGTTGAACCCTATCTACTACTCATTAGCCAAAGCTTCCTTTATGAACCCTTCTGGGTGTCAACCCAGAAGGAGCATTGCGGAAGCATGTGTGCCTGAGCCCCTCTGTGCATCCAATTGGTCTTTGCACTGACTTTGGCCATCAGCCAATGGATTGAGGATCATGGGCTCCCCATTGGCGGAGCTGGCCATTTCACTGCCCTGCCCTGTGGGCGACACCTTGACAATCTGCCCTGGTTCAGGTTACTCTGAGGCTGCCTCCATTTCTACGCCCATCCTGGAGGTGGTAACTCTTCAACTCTCCCGGTGTCGTCGTACCAATCTCCTCCTGTGGCAACTCCTGTCTGGTGTCAAGACCTTGAGACTCACCTTGAGGATGGACTGTTTGACAAACAATCTCATCCTCCTCCTCAAAATCTTCATTTCTATGGGAATGGGCACTGAGCACTTTGTGAGCACACGTGTGCCCACGCTTTTCCTGGACATCTGTACACATCAGATGGATCGTTGTGTTGTGTTAGCTCAGCCATCGTCTAAGACACTATAATGTCTGCAAGATTTTGTCCTTGTGGAAACTGAACTTTTGTTTTTGAAAGGCACCCTGAAATGGTAAAGGTAGCTCCAGATCACCCAGAAAGCTGAACTGGGGATAACTGGATTACTTTAGCGTTGTTAAGAAGGATTTGAAGATATTACTGCAGATTATAAGCTGTGTAAGATTTAGGCATGCACTGCTGCAGCAGAGGAGAGACCCAAGCCATTTCGGAATACTTTTAACAGAGAGCAATGACGACTGTTCTATCTGATTGAGGTGAAGGGCCGTGCAGAGAATATAAAAATGCCTGTAATGCACAGGGTGCAACAGAAGAATACCTGGGCCTCAAAAATTACTTGGCCTCCCCGCAAAAAGGGGGGAGGAATCTAACATTTCCCAGGTTTTAAAGTGCTGCCATAAAAGTGATGCAGAACATCCAGGCTCCAATGAGGGAAGGATAAGATCAAATTTAAGTAGCAGCACCACAGACCAGACTAGATGGCTCCAGTTATTATGTGCATATAGAATTTGCTGCAGAATAGGGCAGACTGTGCAGAATCCTAAGCACCTCTCCTTTGCTGTATATGTATCATCCCATGTTCATTTTCCAGCATGGCCAAGACATGGGAGGTGCCATGAAGATAAGGGGTGAGGTGGTAATGACTGAGGCAATTGCTGCAGTAATCATAAGCAAAGAGGAAATACGAGAGAGAGAGAGAGAGAGAGAGGAGAGAAGGCCAACATTATTTGAGGCTAAAAGACTCAATGCATTGATAGAAGATGGTGAATACTCGGTTCATCAGTACTGTAAAAAAGAAAGACCTTGGAGTGTTTGCAGATGACAAACTGACTATGAGCCAGCAATGCAATGTAGCTGCTAAAAGGGCAAATGCTATTTTGGGATGCATGAATAGAAACGTTACTTCCAAATCACAGGAAGTACTTGTTCCTCTATACTTGGGCCAGTCAGACCAAATCTAGAATACTGTGTCCAGTTCTGGGCACCAAAATTTAAGAAAGATGCAGAAAAATTAGAAAAGGTTCAGAGGAGGGCAACAGAGATGATCCAAGGTCTGGAAACAAAGCCCTATGAGGAGAGACTGAGAGAACTGGGCAGATTTAACCTTGAGAAGACTGAAGGTATTGATAGCACTCTAGAAGTACCTGAAAGACAAAGAGGAAGAAAAGGATCTCTTCTTGCTCATCGCAGAGTGTTGGACACAGAACAATGAACTCAAGTTGCAACAAACCAGATTCAAACTAGATATCAGGAAAAAAAATCTAAATGTCAGAGCAATATGAAAGTGGAACTTCCCTAGAGAGGTCATAGGCTCCCCTACACTAGAAGCATTCAAGATGAAATTGGACAGTCGTATGAGTGGGATGGTATAACTTGGTGACGTGCACCAGGAGGGGGTTGGCCCTGATGACCTTCTTGGCTCCTTCCAACTCCACTGGGCTATTGCCTGGCCTATCTTGCTTTAGATCTGTCTTCCCCTTTCTGAAGTCCTCCAGCTTGTCTGGACCACAACTCCTACCATTCCTGATTATAGGGCCTCTGGGTTGAGGCTGATAGGAGTTAATATCCAGAACACCTGGAGGGAAGCAGCTTGGGGAAGGCTGATCTTAGTATAAGAA